AATTTTTAAACATATATTAACAAGTGGTAATGTTTAATTTTCAAATTTGATATTCTCGAAGACAAGAAGAAGCGAAACAAATCATTCTCTTTTAATTTGATATTCCTTGGGTAATAGTGGAACAAGTCTGCCTCGATTCAATCTTACTTGAAGAACATTGGAATAAATCAACGTCCCCAGATCTGATTTTCCATCAAGAAGAAGAAGAACATATCCCTCTCTTGCAAGATTTGATATTCCCTGAGTAACAGTGGAACAAGTCTGCCTTGATTCAATCTTCCCTCAAGAATAGTGGAATGAATCAATGTCCCCAGATCTGATTTTCCCTCAACAAGAAGCGAAACATATCCCTCTTTTTCAAGATTTGATATTCCCTGAGTAATAGTGGAACAAGTCTGCCTCAATTCAATCTTCTCTGAAGAACAATGTAATGAATCAACGTACCTAGATTTGATTTTCCCTCAAGAAGAAGTGGAACAAATCCCTCTCTTTCGAGATTTGATATTCCCTGAGTAATAGTGGAATAAGTCTGCCTCGATTCAATCTTCCCTGAAGAACAGTGGAGTGAATCAACGTCCCCAGATCTGATTTTCACTCAATAAGAAGTGGAACATATTTCTCTCTTTTAAGATTTGATCATCCCTGAGTAACAGTGGAACAAGTCTACCTCGATTCAATCTTCCTTGAGTAACAGTGGAATGAATCAACATCCCCAAATATGATTTTCCCTCAAGAAAAATCGAAACATATCCCTCTCTTTCAAGATTTGATCTTCCCTAAGTACCAGTAGAATAAGTTTACCTCAATTCAATCTTCCATGAGTAACAGTGGAATGAATCAACGTCCCCAGATCTGATTTTCCCTTAAGAAGAAGCGGGACAAATCCTTTTATTTCAAGATTTGATATTCTCTGAGTAACAGTGAAATAAGTCTGTCTCGATTTAATCTTTCCTGAAGAACAGTGGAATGAATTAACATCCCCAAATCTAATTTTCCCTCAAGAAAAAGCATAACAGATCCCTCGTTTTCAAGATTTGACCTTCCCTGAGTAATAATAGAACAAGTTTATCTCAATTTAATCTTCCCTAAAGAACAGTGGAATGAGTCAATGTTTCTCGATCTGATCTACCCTGAAGGAACAGTGGAGCATATCTCTCATCATATTTCAAAGAATGAAATTGTTCGTACGAAAACTCATTGTCTCTTTGTCTTTTCCCTATACATGTTGACACAAGAATGGGCAAAGATGGGCAGTTGTCGGCACTTGCTTTCGTCTCAATTTTATTATTATTATTGTTATTGTTATTATTATTATTATATTTTATTTTATTTTTTACAGATCCAAGTTACAAATACAAAAAGTCCAAAATAGAGCCACAAGTTACATCAGACCCAAACATGGAGCCCATCAAGACCCAAACCAGGAGCCCAATAGAACCCAAACCCATTAGGGTTTTTACTCTGATCTCTCTTCTCCTAGTGTTGCACGATCACAACCGTTGGATCTAAGAGAGATCCGACGGCCCTGATGAAGATCTGTTGCCACCCATCTCCACCCATCCACGGCCTCCAACACTTCTACCAATCCTCATTAGTCTCCTACCATGAGAGATCACAAAATCAGTAAGGGAAACACTCTACGCAACATGCAGCAGCAAACAACCATAATAAACAAAATCACAATCATTTCCTTTTAAAATCATTTTGAATTGACCAGGAAAAAAATAAGCAAAAGATGTAATATTCGAGGGTTATAAAACCCAAAACTATTATAAACAAAAGGGGTTCCTTTTAAAAAAACAATAAAAGAGCAAGAAAGATTGTAGATAGTTTTCTCTTTTTTAGTTTCACAACACAAGAATAAAATACCCAAAACTTTCTAAATCTTGCATGTAACCGAAAGTAAATAGTAAAGGGTTGGATCTTTTACCTGTGAGGGGAGCCAAACCGGGGATCGTTTGTCTTCGTGACAGTCAAAAGGGGAAAATTGAATGGTTTAGGGTATTTTTTAGGTTTGTTTAGGGTCTTTTAGGGGAGTTTTAGCCCTAGATCTAGGCTTAGGGGGTCTAGATATGAGTATTTAGGGGGATTTTGGGAGAGTTTCGAAGGAAAATGAGAGAAAAAGAAGATAGGAGATTTTTTTAAAAAAAAATCGGTTCAAATGAAAAAAAACAAAAAGTTGTATATATAGGAAAAGTTTTGGGGGGAAATCATGCTTAGGTACCCTTACTTTATGTGTGTTTTTTGTTTGTAATTTACCCATTTTCGTGTATGATTTGTAATTTTTTGGTTTATTTGTTGTTTATTCCCCCTAACTTTAGCGTGTTTTTGCATGTTAGTCACCTGTAGGACTATTTTGTAATTTACCCACTTTTATGCATGTTATATATTTTAGAGTTATTTTTTGTTTAGTTCCTGAATATTTGTGTTTTGCATTTTGGTCATGTGTAGTGACCGTTTAATTTTTTTAAATACTTATGGACTACTTTAGTAATTTCCCCTTTTTTTATTTCGAATGTATATTTTAGGCTAGGAAAAAAAGGAATATTTAGGAAATAGTCCCTGTAGTTTTTGCATGTTTTTATTTCAAACCAGAATCTATCTTTTTATTTATTTTAATTTGTCCATGATATTTTAGTTTATTTTAATTTAGTCCCCACGTTTTATTTATTTTTATTCTTTGTAATTTTGACATGATGGTTTGATTGTTTATGTTTTAGTCTTTTTTTTATTTTATTTTAATGTTTTCATGTTGCTCGCATGTTAATTCATTTTAGTCCTTAATTAATTTTATATGATACCCTCATATGCATCTCTTGACTCGAATCAAAATAAATTGACTAAGGGTAATATTTGTTCATTTTAATATTGTTGTAAAGTGACTGTCTTAACGTATAAGAAAGTTACCCATATAGTGACACAAATTAAATCGAATTCATTTGAAAATTCAAGTATCGGGAAAAAGATCATGTTCTTTTAATTAAATTCATCGAGAAAAGACTGTTAGATCGAATCTAAGGCCTCGTCTCGAGATATTTAAATAATTGAACATCCTTATTCTCAAATAAATAATTAATTACTTGCTTGATATGCTTTTAATTTGCTTATTTTTGCATGTGTTTTCCAATAGGTTTTCAAAATAATAACATTTGAATCGATAGTGAGAATAGTAATATCTTTTCATTTCAGTCGGAGTAATAAATGACTTCTTTAATGTATGAGAGGTCTTTTATTCTCGATTGGAAATAATTTGATATTATCATTTTCTCTCGAATTAATATTGATTTCTAAGATGGAATAGTGATATCTCTTCATTTTGATTAGAGCAATAAACAAATGCTTTAAGGTATGAAGGTCGTTTATTCTCAATTGTAAATTATTAGATAGTATTGTTTTCACTCGAATTGATATTGAATTTTAAGATAGAATAATGATATCTCCTCATTTCGATAGGAGTAATAAATGATTGTTTTAATGTATGAGAGGTTGTTTATTCTCGATTGGAAATAATTATATATTATTATTTTCTCTCTTAAAATTATTTTGGGTGTTGTTGTTTTGAATTAATAAAGAACTTTTGAATTGAATTTTAAGATTTCTTTATTTCAATTGGAGTAAGAATCGATTGCTTTAAGGTATGAGAGATCGATTCTTTTCAATAGTAAATAATTAAATATTATCATGTTTCGCCTTAAAATTTAAAAAAGGGATCTTAAATTAAATTAGCATCGAACTCATAAATTTCATTGCAAAAATAACTAATTAATTGACTATGTACCGATTTAGGGCGTTGTGAGGGTGTTAATCCTTCCTCATACGTAACTGACTCCCGAACTCGAATTTTGGTAACACAGACCGCAAGTTTGTTTTTTAATTAAAATTAATATTTTATTAAAATGGAAAATACATTTTTAGGTGCCCAATCACACTATAATCAGATATTGATGGTGACTCCTCGAACCACGTTATATCGTTAACCGATCAACAAAAATTATCTCAAAATGAGACCCCCTTTTTCCCTTTCAAAAAAAACCGTTTCGACATTATGCATATGCCTTAAAAATATTTCTAAATTCACCGTTAATCGTAATGCTTAAAAGGAATTGAATTTAGAATCGATCATGAACTAGAAAATAGGATAATCAAAATAAATAAAATTATAAAATGAAAATTTCATAATCCTTTTTACTATCAAACATTAATTTTATTGATATATTATTAACTGTTTAACCGGTAAGCCACATATTATTGAGGATGGTCACGTCTCCTCTTTGAAATTTTTTTCGATTAATTATTTATTTTATTAGTGGTGTTCTCTTTAAAAAAAATTGATTAATTATTTATTTTATTAGTAGTATCCTCCTTAAAATTTTATTTATGTCTAACTCATTTAAAATTTTTATTTTTTTAATGTATATGTACCTACCTTTAAAATTATTTTTAAATCTGTCAGGGTATTTAACCAATTAGCACTCGTTGAATCAACTCATTGACATAATTTTCCCATCAAAGAATAAGAGAGGAGAAAAATGTTCCAGAATTTTCCATATAGATTTTACTAATAATTACAAATCATATGTGGCGACACGTTTGCGTGAATGTAGTAATCATCAACTGAACACCAAAAAGGAAATTTGTTCCTAGCTGCCATCAAAGGCACAGATTTTTTCCCATGTAATCGCAACCATTCTATTTACTGAGACCTTCTAGATTTCTTCCGCTAAAATCATGACACGTGTTAAATAAGTTAGAATTATTATAATTTACTTTTGGTTACTTTGAAAGTCAACATCAGGAAAGGAGAGAATGAAAATTGTCATATGATCTGACGATTACGAAGGAGATTAGTAGCTTAAGCTTTACCAGCCACGTGTTATTTTCATTTCTTTTTTTTCTTTTTATGCTTATCTAATTATCTTCCGCTATTGCCGGACCCTATAAAAAGGGACCAAAACCTTCATTCATTGTGCCAACACCAAAGAAAATAAATAAATTTTCTTTTTGTTTTATTAAGTTTTTTTAAATTCTAGCAATGGCGTTAAGGAAAACCTTGGCGGAGAAGCTTTGCAATGTCTCGAAGATTTCTTCGCAAGCTCTTACCAATTGCAGGATTTCCTCACCAGCGGTTCAGAACCGGATGGCACAAAAACCGGCGAAAGCAACAACAACTATGACTGTGGATCCACGAGATGGTAACTGTAACGGCAATGGCATGTTTAGGCGGTTTCTTCATAAAGGAACTACGGCTTCACCGGCAACGAGGAAGTTGCCGGTGGGGGAGGATTTAATGGAGAGATTAAGGGAAATCGATATGTGTAGGGATCGCATCCGGTTGGAGGGGTTGATCCCGGTCTTTGAGGCGATGCCGGAGGTGCCTGCACTGTCCGCTCAGGAAGCGAAGAAATTGTTAAGGGCGGCTCAGCTGGAGGTGGTGAAATCGAAGTTGAGGGAGATCGGGAGAAACTGGATATCGTATTCTGACTTCATTCGGATTTGCGGGGAAAGTTGCTCGGATCAAGAACAAGGATTGCAGTATGCGAAATTGCTGGATGAATCAGGAAACGTCATCGTTTTGGGAAACCTGGTCCTTTTACGTTCCGAACAGGTATATAAAAAATTCAACCTATTAATCCTCTCATGAAACTTCATTATGTGTTTTGCCCTACATATTAAAATTACGGTCAGATATTCAAATTACGGTTACAGTTGCATTTTTGGTTATGTTGTGTTTATTATGATTGGAGATTTAAATGACATTATTATAAGTATTACAATCATACAATAACGGTATCGGACGATACTACTATCACTATATAACGGATGTTATTGTAGTCAAAGACTATTATTTAAATCCCTACTAAGGGGCATATAAACAATTTTATATTGGAATGGAGTTTCTAAAATTTTAGTAGATAGCAAATTTATAAGATTTTAGAAAGAACGAAAATAAATCATCAATAAAAATATTTAAAATATATAATAATTTAAAATTGTTAGGAGATGACAATATACCTAATCCATCTCGACATACATTAAAACCAAATGTATACGATGATGGAAATTAAGTCTCAAATTCATAAATTCATTTATTTACCTTTAGATACGAGAAATCTAAAAAACCTATTCAGAAGAAAAGTGGCGTTGACCAATAAGAAAGTGGTTGATGGAGGAATAGCCTAATTATAAGGATAGGCTTCAACATGACATAAGAATTTTTCATTTTTTCTTATTCTTATTATTACTAGCTTTCATCATTTTGTCAAACTCTACATTAATTATTGGTCAGATTTTGAGTCAATTTTCTTTTCACGTGATCACAGGTAGCAAAAGCTCTGGGAGGTCTAATTCCATTACCCGGATCAATCCCGAATGACCCCAGAAGAAAAGAACTGATGGAGTTGGAAAAGAAGAAAGCAATAATCGATTCGAAAGCCGATTCTATGGTCCGACGTGAACTCTGGCTCGGCCTAGCGTTCCTGGTGGTTCAAACAGCCGGGTTCATGAGGTTAACATTCTGGGAACTCACATGGGATGTGATGGAACCCATTTGTTTCTACCTCACATCCATGTATTTCATGGCCGGCTATGCATTTTTCCTCAGGACATCCAAAGAACCTTCGTTCGAAGGGTTCTATAAGAGCAGGTTCACCACAAAGCAAAGGAAGCTCATACACGCTTACAATTTCGATATCCAGAGGTATAATGAACTCAAGACAGTGTTTCCATCCACATTACAACAACCCTCATCGACGTCGTCGGTTTCATTTCATCGTTCTGGAAACATGCAGATGGGTGCTTTGGATCATTGATGATCGGATAATGTAAACATTAAAGAAAAAAGATGGATACTTGACACAGTTTTGTTTTAGGATTAGGCAAGCGGCTTTGTGTAGCATTCTGTTTGAAGAGTTTTTCATTTGTTTAAACATATGAAAGATTGGATCTAATAAACTGTATATCCCCATTGATTTATGCTTCTACACGTGGATTCAATTTTTAAAGCCCTTAGCTGTTCTTAGGATGACAGGAACACTTAGAATACGTAGGTATTCCGACTAGTTTCGCCCTACCAGAGATATATATTGACGAAGAAAAAAAAGTATCCTCCCATTCTATTGTTTGGTACATTGGAAACACTGGAAGGAAAGAAAATTTAAAATGAGTTAATTTTATCATTATATTTTTATATTTATAGCTTTTCTTTATTAATTTTTCTACGTTTCACATTCAATTCAAATCGTTTATCTTATTTTTAATCTGTTGTTATTAATATAACTCTTCATTTATGATATTTTCAGAGTATAATTCGAGCTTCAAAAGTTGAGTTTAGAGTACATAAATTGTTAAGTCAAATAGACTTTAAGTAATTGTTATGGTTTTTATCGTGTTATACCAAATATGTTCAACCATCGATATAGGAAGGATCACTGCTTTGTATTCTGGGTACCCATATATGTCTAAAGAGGTTTGTGTTTCACCCTTGTACTAAGCTTATAGGTGTGTTGTTGTATGATGATTGTATGATTTTCACTGTCTGTTCTGTTAATCCGTATGTATGGTTTGCTCTTTGATGTCATGACACAATGCTTAAATTATTCTCTTATAATATGACATGCATGTATCTTTATGGTGTATAATTGACATACTTGTTTAATCTGAATGTCTATCCGTATGTATGTTTAACATGCATGATTGATAAGAATATACGCCTGATATGTAAGCTTGATCGTCACATATGTTTAATCCGTATTATTGTTCATCCTTGTGTATATTATATGGACAACCTTATAAAACTATTATCATCTGGAATATATTTGTTTATTGTACTATATTCTGCACGAGTTTGAGTTTTGCAGAGTAAGTTACTGGTTTTATATTATGTATCATACTACTGTTTGCTTCTGTTACAAAATTACATGTTAAGTTACGTATTACTACTCCCTGGATAAATAAAGTGATATTTTGGAAGAATTCTGCCGGCGGAGTTTAGGGGATGGATGGGCAGTTAGGGGCTTACTGGTCCGTATATGCATTTATCATGCTTGTTTACACTGACCAATTTAGAGATAGGCATTCGAAATTGTACCAAGCTCTCAGTTTGAAGAATCCTCTTTTGTTGATTGGGGTCTTTGTGGTCCTTGCTCTTCTTTATTGGTCTAATACTGTCATTTTTGTATAATTTGGCATCACCAACAACTTGCTCCACTGTTCATTTCTCAGGCTCTGGAAAACTAGTTCTCCTTTTATGAAAATGTTGTCAATGGCGGGGATACATTACTGTCTTTAAGGAACAGTCACAGATGCTTTTTAACTTGAAAATCTTTGTGTGGACAATATTGTATAGGTGTTAAACATGAATTTATGCTACTTTAAACCTCTAAAGAAGCAATGAACGTTATTTGATGCATTAACACAATATTGAATGATGGTGAGGCATTTATGCCACTTTTAACCCAGAAATGTATCTACAACAGTTTCATGTTGGTGGAAAGCTCGGTGTTTTGGCACTATACGGCTCATGCCCTCAACTTTATTACTACAGTTTTAAATATCTTGAAACCTTCCTGTCGGTACTCTTTCCACGTGGTAGGGTAGGTGATTCATAAAAGCTCAGTTGATTTGTTGATCACATGGCCTTGGGAAATTAATAATCTTGAACCATATTTGTTGTCATCCTTGCAACTTGATTGACTGCTTAGATTTCCGTTTTCCTGCCTCACAAGTTCCTCCATGTTTCAACCTAATTCATGGTTCCTCAAATTTCATGATTTGCATTAAATTTATTGGGTGATTTTAATGATAAAAGAGATTATATTCTTTATGAAAGATCGAATTTCATATAGTTATATATGTAAGATATATATACATTATCAAGGACTAAGAAAAATTATTTTTTCTATTATTTGTTCGTTAGTGCTCACGGGATAAAATAGATATGGTAGTGATTTCATCGTATTGAATTAATGTCGAAATCAAAAACAAGAACCGAAGAATTTGAAATAAATGTTGCTGGGGGGACTTTATGGCCTTAGTTTCTTCGGCTTGAAAATTTTCCGCATCTGTATCTTTCGATTTGTGTACTGGTATATGTATAGTATTGGTCAATTCCAAAGGGCCCCTAATCTAATATATTGTTATTGTGCTGCATTTAAAGTTTCTATGCAACCAACAATGACCATCCGTTTGATATAGTACATAACACATTAAATTCTTTAGGTAAAGTTAACAGTTTGAATTTATATATTTGTGTATGGAGCAAATTGAGTTAAAAGGGTTGTCCATATGATAAATCTCTGCAAAACTAGATCTGAATTAATTAATTAATAGATTATATAGCGATCATTAATTAAAAAGGGAAGTTCTACCGTACGACAACCTTAATATTCGGCTAAGAAAAGACGCTACCGGTTTTGTTATTTTTTTAATAAAACCGGTAAAAAATTACCTAAAACATTATTATTTCTACTTAAAACATTAATGTTTTTTAACATTTACGGTAACGTGTCCAATAATAGCGCTTTACTAGATATGTTAACAAAACCAGTAAAACGCCCAATAATAACAAAATCGGTAGAAATAATATTGTTTCCGGTAATTTTTTACCGATTTTATTAAAAAAATAATAACAAAACCAATAACATTTTTTAATCGTATATTAATGTCACCGTCGTGAGAATTTCCAAATTAAAAAACCCTTTCTTCAACCAGTTTTTGAATGGAAAGTCACTGAAATGGAGTTCCAAACCACCCAACCATATCGCGTCAATGTAAGATGAATTTATTCAGCATCCCGGCTGCCGGTTTAAATTTATACCATCAAATCTAATTATTAAAACAACTTGAAGAAACCAGAAACCTTTTTCATGTTCCCCCCCCCCCATAAAAAATACCATGTTAAAATTCCACGAGTTAATTGTACCACATATCTTCAAAGTATGACTCTCATTTTAAATTGATTCTTAAATTTTTAAGTATTCAAATTTTATTCCTAAACTATACCTATTATTAGAAACTAGTCCTCAAACTTTAAAACATTTCAATTTCACCCCCAAACTATGACCATTCTAATTTGATCACAACCTTTTTGAACATTCCAATTTCGTCCCAAACTACACGTATACGCTAATCATGTCCCTTATTAATAAAATCTTTAGGTCAAGTTATAATATTATATGTTTGAAAATGAATTTAGGGATGAACTTGGAATATTAAAAAGTTTAGAGATTAGTTTAGAAAGAGGGTCATAGGATTGGGGACATATGATGTAATTAACTCAAATTCTTCATATCTGAATTTCTTCTAGATCTTTTGTGATTATAACTATTGGTAGAATAACTTTTCTAGACTCTTCTAATCTTGATATCAAATAATTTAGTCTCTTTTAAAAAATAATTTAATTTTATCTGTTTGAAAAGTGAGAAATTAAATATAATTTATAAGATATTAATATTTTATATCAATTTTATAGAATTTAAATTAATGTAATAATAAATTTAATTTTCAGCATTTATATATTATATCAGTAATTTTATCTTAATTTTAAAAATAATAATAAATTTAACCTATAACATTTATATATTTTATCAATGTAATTCAAATTAAATGGATTGTAACAAAAAATTAATTAATTCATTAAAAGGCCTTAATTTGTATAAACCTTGCTAATTTTTTAGGATTAAAGTTTATTAGAAGTTTTTGAAGGATAATTATAAGTTTATTTTAGTCTATATACTATAAAAAGAAATATTTGTGAATTTCCTTTATTTAAAAGTTCATTTTAGTCTATCTACTATAAAAATGGACATTTTAGTATTTATATATTTGAAAAGTGAATATTTTCTTCCAAAATATTAAAGTTATAATTAGTTAGCTTTAATATTTTGTTTTGAACATTCTTTCAAGTCTCTGATAATTTTGAAACTGAACAAATAGATCCATCTTGAATAAAAGAGTAATTTATTCTATGCATATTTTAATAATAAGTAAATAAAAAGGATTTATGATGGTATTGTTCTTTTCCGTTAGTACATAATATGTGTCAAACTGTGAATGGATAATTTTTTAAATAAAAAAACCAAAATTATATAGAATTTTATAATATTTTTCAGAATTTTGAAACAATGAAAAAAATATTTTTTTATGTATCATTTTTTTCAATTAAACCCTTACCCCAAATCTAAATTTTTTAAGAAAAATCAATTTATATATACATTTAATTACAAATTTTACATATTTTTCATGTATCATAAGATTTATGCCCTTACATTTTTTTTGTTTGAGAGTTAAGAGTGAGACTGTGGGATTGCCGCTTGAAGCTGACCCTTTTACTTCTTTTTCTTTCAGCTATCATATTCATCTGAACATTACCGTGTGGCCTTGGTCGAACACGTGATTCAATATTCAACGATTTGCACGTAATATCTTTTTTATTATTTTTTTAAAGTAAGATTTGAAACTTAAATTTCAAAATAAAGTGGTGAGAGATGGCAGTGCCAACAACAGAAGATTGTCAATGTGGCTTGAAATTTGGAAAGGGTTTCATAATTGCATGGATATATATAGAGAGAGAGAGGGGGATATTACTAATTATACAGAGTAATATTTTTTTAGTTTTATATATATTTAAGACTGTTAAATTAATAAAAATAGATAACTGAGATTAATAGTATGAATTGAGAAAATATTCAATAAAAAACAATGAGTTAATTTCGTTCGATTATTTTTATTCATTCAACCGTCTTAAATCTATATAAAACTAAAATTAGGAGGGGACCTAATCAAAGAAAAGAAAGAAAGGGATGGGGTCATGAGGTATAGGGGAAGTAGGT